ATTGGACACACAAGGAATTTATCTTGGTGTAAATATTCTCAGTATACCTAAAAGAAAAGATACATTCGTCAAGAGTCAAGAATCATAAGGTATGACACTTAATGGTAGTCATAGGGTACAATAAGCAATCAGGTCATACTAGGATACAGTCGATATAAATTGTAAGTATACAATTATGTAATTATATATAACAAAAGCAGCAGTCGATCTATGGAGATTCTCAGTCCTCCAGGTCATTGTTGTCCCAAAGGTGCACAGGTAAAAATTAAGCTAGGGTGGGGATGGGGAGGTGGGGCTGCCCTACTACTGAACTTTGGACAGTTGTAGCCAGGCCTTGCACACCCCAACACCTGCCTTGCCGGCCCATTTCTTCTGCAGTCAGCAAGGCTTTCCTAAAGGACTTTCTGGTTTTTCTTTGAAGACATTTTGCTTCTCATCCAAGAAGCTTTCTTCAGTTCTGATGTCCATTCCACCCTCCAGTCAGAGCTGAAGAAGCTTCTTGGATGAGAAGTGAAATGTCTTCAAAAGGAAAAAAAGAAGAGAGTGAACCTGAACAGAGGGGGAGGGATAGGACATCATCTATCTCCAATCTACAACACAGTCCTTTCAACAGTTCCAAGAAGGCTCCACACCCGTTTGCACCCCTCAGGTGACCCTGAGGACACAGATAAACCTCCAGGTGGCCTGAACGACCCACTAAAAGAATGCAAAGGACCAGCTGTTTGCAAGGAGTATAAATCCTTCCATTCCCCACCATCCAGTCAGAGCTGAAGAAGCTTCTTGGATGAGAAGAGAAGCGTCTTCAAAGAAAAAACAAGAAAAGTTCAGTTGCCTCTTGAAAAAAAAAAGCACCTTTGGGACAACCATGACCTGGATCTCCATAGACACTTACCAATTTAAGAGTTCAAGGCTCAGACTCAATACACAACACATATGTGGTGTCAAACCTGTTTAACCAAAACAAATAAATACATATACATACATACATACACACATTCATACATACATAAGTACTGTTGCATTTCCAACAATTGAGTTTTCCCGAAAATACGACCTACCCTAAAGGTAAGTCCTAGCTTGATTTTTACACATGTGCCCAATAGAAGCCCTACCCCCCTCCCCAAAATAAGCCCTAATTAAAATCCCGCCCACTCCAGAGTGAATGGGTAAAAGCTAAGCTAGGATGGGGATGGGGAGGTGGAGCTGCCCTACTACTTACCTTTGGACAGTTGTAGCCAGCCTTGCACACCCCTCAACACCTGCCTTGCCGGCCCATTTTCCTGAAGGCCTCTGTAGCTGATAACAAAACTATGGATCGATCCAGAGCTCCATTATCAGCCACAGAGGCCTTCAGGATAAGCCTTGCCGGCTGCAAAAGTAGTTCCTGAAAGCCTCAGAGAGTGAAAAGGAGGCTGGGGCCAAGACGTGGATAGGAGGTTGCCTGTCTGAGGCACCTAGCCTAGGGCAGGTGGTATTTCCCATAACAGGACCACCTGTAAAATAAACCTCAGTTTAGCCAGGTTTAGACACATGTGAATTCAGCCTTGGTATTCCACAGAATGGAATGAACTGCCCACTTTCCAGCCTTAAATTCTTCATTTTAAATAACTGTTCCTTGGTTTGCTGGTCAAAAGCCTTTTACCCACCAGTTTCGTGCAATAATCAATTATATCCCCCAGTTTTGACTCCCTGCCCTTCTCCACATTATTGATCAATGTTTATGAGTTGCCTCTGCAAATTTTTGTACCCATTCTATAATCACAACAGGTGTCATCGTACCAATCCATTATAGCCATGGCAGGCAAAATCTTTTCAGACATGAGATTTTAATACTAGTCCTTTTGCAAAAAATGGACGGGAACCTCCAGTATTTACAACCAGCTCACTGAAAACCCCTCCACTAAACTGATTAATTCAGAGATTTGTTTCCTTTTTAAAAAAAAAATCCACCCATGAATTTTTTTTGATGCAATACTGTCAATATTTCAGATTTAATATTATTTGTACAGTATGCATAAACTTTCTGAAAAGTGTAATATTTATGTCACGGCCAATTTAACACTCACGCGTTTTGTTGCTGATTAACGAAGGTTCAAAGGACCAGCCAGTATGAATTTTAAAAACGTTGGCAGGTGTTATCTACTATCACTAGCAGCAGGCAAAAAAAAGGAACAAGAGCTGAAATTTCAAACATGAAACCACACCAGGGCTTGCTTTCATCCTGGCTTGTCTAAAGAGCTGCAGAAGTCTGGTCCCACCTCGCATTAAGCCATATATCGGGTTTGGCACATTGTGTGAACTCACTTGACTGGGACCTAGCAGAGTAAGCCTGTTATGGCCCAGTTTCTTCCTTTACAAAATGGCATGTGCCACCCTCTTCCTCCAAGCATCCAAAATTATAAAGTGCACATTCATATTCTCTTTCCTTCCTTCTCTTGTCTCCCTCCTTCATTCTCCTTTGCTGTCTTTCTCTCTCCTTCGCTTTTTCTTTGCTCTTTCCTTCCTTCCCTCTCTCCCCTCCTCTCCTTCCCCCTTTCTCCTTTGCTGTCCCCCTTCTCCTCTCCCTTTCTCCCGCCTTCCTTTTCCTTTGCTCTTTCTCCTTCCCTCTCCCTCCTTCCTTCTCTCCCTCTCTCCCCTCCTCCTTCCCCCTCTCCTTTGCTGTCTCCCTCCTTCCCCCTCTCCTTTCTCTTTTCTCTCCCTCCTTCCCTCTCTCCCCCGCTCTGTCTTTCTCTCTTTCACACACAAACACACACAAAATACACAATTCCATTTTCACCTACAATCTAATCAGTTTTTTTCTCATTGAATTTGCACGACCTGCAATGAGACTGGCAGAGAGCTTTGTTCGCGTCCCATTTGTGCCACCTGCAAGACTTAATTTGATTAAATTTCCTTTCGGGTCATTTTGGTTGGGTTTTTTTTTGTTTGTTTGTTTGTTTGGTAGAGGCTCGGCCTCTCGCCCAAACTCAGCCCCAGGCCAATTTTCCCGAGCCCAAGTTCAGCCATCCCCTGACACGGCCTGGTGCAAACATTACAATTCTCAAGGGGGCGAACTTTCAACTCCAAGGTTGCTCGGCCAAGTACTGTTGTTGCATTGCATGCTTGAAAAATACAAAATCTCGTCTCCACGGGCTGAACAATAAAACACCCAAGGCCTTCCCATATACAGTATGTATATGAGTGTGTGTGTGTGTAAGTGTGTGTATGTATGGCTGAATATCATACATACATATAGACAGCTAGACAGCTAGCTAGCTAGCTAGCTAGCTAGATGATGGATAGATAGATAGATAGATAGATAGATAGATAGATAGATAGATAGATAGATAGATAGATAGATAGATAGATAGATAAAGGCGTACGAGGCTCCCGCTTCCTGTGAGCTCCACCTTCTCCCCAACCTCCCCGACTTATCCCTTCTTAGAAGCCGATGCCCTTGAGCCACGCGCGCATGCGCCCCGGAGGCCTACAAGGAAGGAAAGGAGGAAGCGAGAAAAACGAGCGCAAGCCGATCGCGCTCGGCTACTCCTTCCCTTCCCCCCCCCCTCCCCCCCTCCCTCCCTCGGCTCTCGCTCGCCTCGCCTCCCTTTTGGCAGCCCAGCCCGTTTCCTCCGCTCTCTTTTCCTTTCTTTCCCGCGATGTAAAACCAAACCGAACCCGACCCAGGCTTCCCAACTCCCCCCCCACCCCCGCCGCCGCTGTTGCCGCAACGTTCGATCGAACCCCGCCGCGTTCCATCCGCGGGGCCGCAACGTTCCATTCCCCTCCCCTTTCCCCCCGCCCCGGATCGTCGCAACGTTCTATCCCCTCCCCCTCCCGCTCCGTAAGGGCTGCAACGTTCCATCCGCCGCCCGCCGACGTTCCAAAGCAGGCCGCGCGGACCTTCCCTCGGCAGAAGCCCGGCTCCTTCTTCTTCTTCTTCCTCCTCCTCCTCCTCCGGTTCCCACGCTTTCCACCACCGCCCCCCCCCTCACGTGTCCCGGGCTCCCAGCTGGGGAAAAGGCAAGGAGGGAGGGAGAGACCCGCTCTCGCTGCTAGCTCGCTCGCTCGCTCTTTCCTTCTCACATGACCCGAGTGTTTGTCCCCGTGATCAGCGCCTCGGCTCCCGTGTCTCCTCCGCGTCCCCTCTACCTCCATCCGGCGTGAGATTTAAAAACTCGTCCCCTCCTTCTCCTGCTGCCTCCCTCCCCCCCCCTGCGTCCCCTTTGGGGGGCCAGCGGGGCGCCCCCCCTTCCCTCCCTCCCCTCCCCCTCCCCTCCCCTCTCTCCCCCCCCCTCCCATGGACATGCTGGAACCCGGTCTGGATACAGCCACCGCCTCCGCTGCTTCCAGGTAAGGGGGGGGGGGAGGGCAGAAGAAGCCCGTCCAAAAGCTGCCCCGGGCCTGGGTTCCTTTCCTTTCCGGCCTCTCAACCCTACGGAGAGATGGGGGAGGGGAGAGAGAGAGAGACTACAGAGGGGAGGGAGGGGGAGAGCCAGCGACGATCCACCCTGCTCCTGCGGTGCAGGCGGCGGCGGCGGCGGCGACCGGGGAGTGGGGAGGAAGAACAAAATGGAGGACACGGCGGACGGTCCTCTCTTTCTGCCCCGGAGGGAGGAGGGGGGAGAGAAGAGGGGCCCTTCCGAAGGAGGGGTGGGGGCGGGGGGGTGTCTCCGGGGGTCGTGAGAATGCAGATAGGAGGGGACAAAACGGGATCCCTTCCGCGATTTCTAAGGCTTGGTGGGGTGGGTGGGTGGGTTTCTCAAGTGTAACGCTCGCCCGGGTGGGATTCTTCCCTATACCCCTTCTTGCTTTCCAAGCGGGAGGAAAAGGGGGAGGGGGGCTTGGACGGACTACAAGTCCCATCCTCCCCCAGTGGCTGACTGGGAGGGCTGCGCGGGGTGGGGAGTGGGGGTCTGCATTGGCCAAAGGGCTGGGGGAGGACGCGGGTGAGGTTTCCCTTCCTCCCCCCACCCTCCCGTAGGTCCGAGATGGGAAATGTCTGGGGCGATCCGGAAAGGAAGGAAGGAGGGAGGGGAGAAAGAAAAGAAAAGCCGCCGTCGTTTGGGGTGTCCGGTTTGTTTGCTGTCACACTGGAAAAGGGCAGCCCGGCAGAGATTGGTTGGCTGCCGTCAAGGAGGGAGGGATTGGGGAGGGGGGGGGGAGGAAAGGACAGCCCCACATCCAGATCCCTGCTGTCAAAACAGGGAAAAAAGGAAGTCCTCTGGGTGAAAGGGAGGCAACAGCCTGATCTCCAAGAGGCCTTTAAAACACCCCGTGTTGTAGACTTGGAGCAGGGATTCGTGGTCTTTTTTTGGCTGACCTTGTGCTATCTGTGGAGGTGCTCAGTCATCCACAGGTCATGGTTGTCCCAAAGGTGCTTTTTTTTTTTTTTTTCAGGAGGCAACTGGACTTTCTTGGGGTTTTTTTTTTTTCATTTTCTTTTTGAAGGGGTTTTGCTTCTCACCCAAGAAGCTTCTTCAACTCTGATGGGATAATGGGGAATGGAAGGATTTATATTCCTTGCAAACAGCTGGTCATTTGCATCCTTTTAGAGCAGGGGGGTGTCAAACTCACGGCCTCAGGTGATGTATCAGGGCCTTTTTCCTCCTGTAAAGGGGGTGGGGTAGGCCACACGTGATGCATCTGGGTTGTGAGTTTGACACCCCTGTTTTAGAGGGTTCTTGAACCAGGAGCATTACTCAGGTGACCCAGTGGACACAGATAAACCTCCAGGTAGCCTCAACGACCCCCTTAAATGATGCAAATGACCAGCTGTCTGCAAGGAGTATAAATCCTTCCATTCCCCACTATCCTGTCAGAGCTGAAGAAGCTTCTTGGAGGAGAAGCAAAATGTCTTAAGAAGAAAAAGTCCGGTTGCCTCCTGAAAAAGCACCTTTGGGGCTTGGATGAGAAGCGAAGCATCTTCAAAGCAAAAACCAGAAAAGTCCAGTAGCCTCCTTGGAAAAAAAAGCACTTTGGGTCTATCAGTGGTTTCTCCGTCTGGCCTGCCTGGTGGGGTTGTTAGGCCAATTGAAAAAGCAACAACCCTCCATGTTCTACTCCTCCCTTTCGGCCAGGGCTGTTTGTCAGGAAGCTGACATACCCGGCAAGTGGTTGCAGAAAGGAAGGCAGTCTGGGTGGGGGGGGGGGGGAAAGCAGAGTGAAACTGATGGTGTGAATAAGGAGGGGGTGTGATGTGGGCCTAGTGCAGAGTTTGAAGTGGTACTTTTCTCTGGGTGTCATCGTAGCCGTGTAAATGTAACCTGGCTGGCTTGCACAATAAATACACTTAATCCAGTTTTGGTTCAGATCGTTCCACCAGATCTAGGACAGAGAATAATTCCCAGCAGTGCTGACAAAGCAAGGAGCAGGCCAGGTGACGCACCTTTCCAGCAGACAGTCATACTTCTTAGATTTATATTCTGCTTTTTCACTCGGGAGCTCAAAGCAGCTGTGTAGAGCTTTTATCTGTTTCTCCTCCTCCCTGTCCCCACCACCACCATCAAGTTTCTGGGTGTTACCATAAAAGAGAACCTGACCTGGGGTGCTCACATTACAGCAGTGGTCAAAAGATCCATCTCTTCCGGGGAACCCCTTTTTTGAACTATTACCATCTGGCAGACGGCACAGAATAAGCACAATAGACTGAAAAACAGCTTCTATCCCAGGGTAGTAGCTCTTTTGAATTCTACTGTATAGTGCAGTGTTGGTGCGGTGTTGGGGGTTTTCGGTTCAATGTATGGGGTGTAAAGGATGTGTGTTTGTGTTTATTTTCATGGTCATGATGTGCACGAAGATGGTGTTTGATTTTGTTCTACGAGGTGCCGTAAAGTAAACTAAATGGGCCCAGAAGAGGTTATACTACCTGAGACTTCTCAGGAAACAACAACTGAATGAAACACTGCTGGTGACCTTCTACCGCTGCACCATAGAGAGTATCTTAACTTACTGCACCTCTGTATGGTTTGCCAGTTGCACAGAGGCAGATAGGAAAGAACTCCAGAGGGTTAAGGTCACTGCCCAGAGGATCATAGGTTGCCCTCTCCCCTCTTTGGAAGAGCTTTATAGCTCCCGCTGCCTTAAGAAAGTTCAAAACATTCTCAAAGATCCATCTCATCCTGGGAACCCCTCCACTTTTTTTTAAACTGTTACCATCTGGCAGACGGTACAGGATAATAAAAAGGACAAATAGGCTGAAAAACAGCTTCTATCCTAGGGCAGTAACTGTTGAATTCTACTGTATAGTACAATATTAATGCGACATCAAGGGTTTTCAATTCAATTGTGTAGAACAGAGTTCTTCAAGCTTGACAGCTTTAAGACTTGTGGACTTCAACTCCCAGAATTCCTCCTCCAGTCATGTTAGCTCAGGAATTCTGGGAGTTGAAGTCCACAAGTCTTAATACTTGCCAAATTTGAAGACCCTTGGTGTAGAATGTGAAGGATGTGTGTTTGTGTTTTATTTTTACAGTTACAATGTACACTTAAGATGGCATTTACTTTCCTTTTACAAGGTGCAATGATAATGAAGTAAACTAACTAAAACAATAGCAACTCTTATGTGGTTAGCTGGGTTGAGACCGTGGCTGAACCCCGGATCTCTTCTTCACCTAGTCCAGTACTTTAACTACTACAGTCCGCTGCCCTTTTTCGGCCACTACGCTGTGCCAAAGCAGAATAAAGTGATTATGCCAGAATCGGGCAGGCTGTTCAAAATTCCTCGGCGGGGAATGAGTATGCTGAAATGCTAAATAATTCAGCCTTGATATTTTATAGACTCGCTTCATCACTAGTGGCGGTTAGAAATAGTAGGAAGGCGAGTCAGTGGGTGGTTTGATCTTCTTTTCATAGCCCACCCCTCAAAAGAGACCAGTAAAAAAAAATTTTTTTTTTCTGGCTAGTAACTTGGGAGGCAAACCCAAAAAGCTCAAAGAGTGTTACGTTCTGCGCGGCCTGCCTTTTTCGGGGAACCCTTCTGGAATTTTGCAGTTATGTTAATTGGCCCAGTAAAGTTGCAACTGTACAGATTGAGAAGGAAAAAAATAATAATAATCTTCAACCAAGGCCTTTTGGGGTTGCTCTGGATTTGGTCTGTGTCAAACCGGGCAAGACAGCTTGAGTTAGTTTTAACTGCCCAAATCAAATCCCATCCAATTTGATGGTTCTTTTCAATCCCCTTTCCTTCTCCCCTCCATTCAACTCTCATTCATTCTGCCCCTACGCTTGTCCTTTAATTATTTATCATATTTCTCTTGTTCCTGGTTGGACTTAACCCGAGGCGATTCCTGCCACTGCTCATTTCTCTGTCCCTATTGATGTACTGTATTGGGGAGGGGGACGTTTCCCCACCCCACCCCACCCCCCAAAATAACCCAAACCGACCTGATTTGACAAAAAGTAGAACAGGGACGAAGCAGGAAAGGCTATCTATTATTAGTATTCGCTACTCAGCAGGTACTCTAATGCTGGGATGGGGCGCTGAACCGTCTCTGGGTTTTTAAAAAGGCCATTTGGAATTGAAATAGGAAGATCTCAGTAATTTAGATTTAGGTGAGAAAGAATGACGGTGAACGAACCTCACCAAATCTGACGTTTTGGGGGTACCCCTCTCTCACTCGGGGGAGGGGGTAGACTAGATGACCTACAAAGTCCCTTCCAACTGTGTTAATCTGTTAATCACTGCAGAGCCTCCTTTCTCTCTGCAGTGAATTTGGGGTCTTAAAGCCATGAAAGCATGCTTAGGAGGGGCAACCAAAATTAGAAAAGATCCCACACACACGTACACATACACATACACACACCCCCACACACAAACACACACCACTGCTAAAAAAGAATGAAGTGTTTACACATGAGAGATGTTTAGACTTGCGTCACTGTTTTTGTCCCATGAAAGCAGCGTTTCTAAACCATTCTTGAAGCAGGGAAATTCCTTGGGTAGCTTCTATTGTTCTGCAAAAAGTGATACACAGATTTCCAAATAAATAATCACCGGGATTTCCAAATGCAGTCAAAACTGTTAGGAAAACAAGCATGGGACAACCTCCCTTGGGGGTTGTGGGGGCAGAACTTCAAGAACCTATTCTAACGACCACTCCTTCAGCCCCGTCATAATTTTGACTGGTTGTTAAAGCAACGATTCCCTGTATTTCTTTATGGATGCTTCTATTTTTTCTTTGTGTTTCTAAATGGGGTTTCACTCCAGTGGTTCCCATATCTGTCCCATCTCATAGAAATAACTACGACCAACGAGAGCAACCAAACAATCCAAATAAAGCAAGGACAAATAGGCTGAAAAACAGCTTCTATCCCAGGGCAGTAGCTCTGTTGAATTCTACTATATAGTGCAGAGTCGAGTGGTTTTCAACTCAATGTGTGGAGTGTAAAGGATGTGTGTTTGGGTTTATTTTCATGGTCACGATGTGCACTGAAGATGGTGTTTGATTGCTTTGTACGCGGTGCAATGACAGTAAACTAAACTAAACTAAATAATGAAGGTCTGAGGTTGCAAAAATAATTCCATTTACAGAGAAAAGCACAAGAAGCCAATTAGCCATTAGAGCTTGTTCTGCCTCTATAAACTCAAAAAAGTCTAGGGAAAAGCCAGCTCTTTAAAAACCCTTATGCAAGACTTACGTAGCTGGGGCCGTTCAGATCTCTGGAGCAATTATGTTTCATAGGACATGCTCTGCAACAGAGAAGGCACCCTTACTGTTGGTTCTAGCAAGATGGGCATTGCCTCTAATCTAATTCTGGTAGGATGAGCAGAAACCATTTGAGATGCACCGTCCCTCAAATAGCCTAAATCTGTTTTTTTTTAAAAAAAAAATCCTATGTAGATCACCCAAAGTTGCCATTGTGAGATAGGCGACTGCATAAATTTATTAAATAGATAAATAAATAAACAATTCTCTTTTTTGGGAGCAGGTGATCTCTGGGCTTTGGCTCAAATTATACAAGAAGGAAGGATGAGCATTTAGCAGGAAGGGAAGTAGAAGTAAAAAAATAAAATAAACCCATAATCTATCCATCCCTAACAGATTGCCCTCTTAGAGAATTTGACCCCAGGATTCTTCTAAGCCCACTTAATTGGTTCTTGCATACCATATATATTTGGAAATAAGCTGAGAATTTTAGATGCCAAAATACACCCCCCAAATTTGGTTTGGCTCCTCCACGAATGGGCTTATCTGCAAGTGTATATAATAACACTTCATAAAAGTACTTGTATGTCCCTCAGATCAGTGGTCGCCAACTAGTGGACCGGGGACCACTGGTGGTCCGCGCAAAGATTTTGATGGTCCACAGAGAAATGTCACTCCCAAAACACCCCCAAAGCAATTAATCCAGGCTGCGCAGGAGCACAAGACTGTGCTGCCCACATGGCCTGTGGGAACACGAGGCTTGCATCGCTTGCATTGAGAACAACACGAAGTAGTGAGGGGACGGGGGGAAAGGGCAGAGGTGGGGACTTGCCCCATGCGCCTTGCCTGGCCACTGGGCTGCTTCTTTCCGCTTCTTTCTTCTTCTGCTCTTCTGCTTTTGGCTGCACACAAGGAAATCAACAAAAGTCTTTCTTTCTCTCCCCCAAACTCTACCAGAAATGAATCTTTGGGACCCTGCAAGGCCTCCTGCTCCAAGAGGCTGCGCCGGCACGACAAACCTCACAGAGACTCATTTCTGGCGGAATTTAAGGGAGAGAAAGAAAGACTTCTGCTGCTTTCCTTGCATGAAGCCAAAAGTCTCTCTCTCTTTCTCCCCCTGAGATCAGAATTGGAGACGGTATCCTGTGATCCCAAATAAAGAATGATCGATCGGTAGGAAAACAGGGTGGAGAATTTTCCTGCAGAATTTTTGGGGGATTTTCCCAGGGTCTCTGGTCCATGGGATTTAAAATTATGAGTTTGGTGGTCCCCGAGGTCCAATAGATTGGCGACCTCTGCCTTAGATAAGCTGACCCTCCAGTTTTGAACTAAAATAAGCATGAAAAATGAGGTTTGGCTTATCCACGAGCGGCATATTTTTCATGGTAAGTTGGTTAAAAAAAAAATCAAGGGTTGGCTTATCCGGATGGGCTTATCCACAAATATGTACAGTAACTGCCATCCTTTGGACACCTTTGGTGCTCTGCCTTGTGCTTTCAGCCCGGTTAGCAACAACTGCCAAGAGTGAAGGATTAAGATAGCTGCTTTCCAGGACTGTAAGGCTGTTTTCTCCTTCCAGTCTGTGGAAAGCGAAAGTTGAACTTGGGGTGGGGGGTGTTTGATATTCATCCATGCGTTTCCTGTTTTCAGTATTGAAATATTGAGTTCCGTGGATTTCGGTAGGAAGTTGGAATCTACAGCTGTGACCCACCGCAGAGGTGAGGCTTTGTTTGGGTGTGCACACAATCAGCAAACGTAGTTTATCGCATCAAACGAACCTCTTCAGTCCGCAGGAGATGTACCAGGCAAGAAAGAATTTACAGTCTAATAGAGAAGAATCTCTCTAATTGAAAGTACACTGTAACTACATAGCCAAAAAGGGGTTAAGAGTTGTTAACCTAATCTTACATAGCTTTTTCTCTGGTAATATTACACTACTAACTAGAGCATACAAAACATTTGCTAGACTAATACTGAAATACAGCTCATCAGTCTGGAACCCACATTACGTATCTGATATTAACACAGTTGAGAAAGTCCAGAAATATTTCACAAGAAGAGTTCTCCACTCCTCTACTCGTTGCAGAATACCTTATGCCACCAGACTCGAAATTGTAGATCTAGAAAATCTAGAACTACGCCTCCTTTCGTCCGATCTAAGTATAGTATATAAAATCATGCATTGCAATGTCCTACCAGTCAATGAATACTTCAGCTTCAGCCATAACAATACAAGAGCACACAATAGATACAAACTCAAGGTCAACCGCACCAAACTTGATTGCAGGAAATACGACTTCAGCAGCAGAGTGGTCAATGTCTGGAATACTCTACCTGACTCTGTGGTTTCTTCCCTAAACCCCCAAAACTTTAACCTTAGACTGTCTACTATTGACCTCACCCCTTTCCTAAGAGGTCTGTAGGGGGCGTGCATAAGCGCACCAACGTGCCTACCGTCCCTGTCCTATTGTCTCTTTTATTTTTCTTATATGTACCCATTTTCATGTATTCATAACTATGTATATATTTCTACCTGTTATCTTATAATCGTTTGACAAAATAAATAATAATAAAGTTGAACCGTGAAGTCCTTGGGGGTCTGTTGAGTTTGGTTGTTGGGGTGCAGACATTTCATTACCCAGCTAGTTAACATCATCAGTCCCATCGTATCTGCAAGACAACAGCCGAGCTCAGAGAGCACCAAGGACAATTACGATGCCTAGCTTGGGTCCTTTGAATTCTGCACTGAATGAATTGAATTCTGTAAGTAAATATCTATGGAGATTCTTTGTCATCCAGGTCACGGTTGACCCAAAAGTGCTTTTTCAAAAGGCAGTTGGACTTTCTGGTTTGGTTTTTTCTTTGAAGACATTTTGCTTCTTAGCTAAGAAGCTTCTTCAGCTCTGACTGGATGGTGGGGACCATTGATGAGATGGTGGGGGTCTCCTGTTTTACAACACAGTCCTTTCAGCAGTTCCAAGAAGACGCGACACTCATTTGAACTCTGATTCAGGTGACCCTGAGGGTGCAGATAACGCCCCCACCAAAGTGTTCTGACCCAAACCTTGTTCCAAGGAAGTAAACACCAAACAACATCAAAACCTTTTAATGATTCTTTACAAATTCCATTCCTTCTCAGTTAAAAGGCTGTTTCAAACTATTTGTCTCTGATAAGAACAAGCCCTGCCAAGGCTGTGCAAGGCTGCCAAGAACACTAGATTAAGTTGCCAAGAAATATTTCAAACACAAAGAGTCTCCAAACACCAACTAAGAGAGTCCGAACGTCCACAAGGCTTGAGTGCAAAAACTTCTTTGCTTCCTGCAAAGAACTCTGGTTTCTCAGCTGGCTTTTATCTCTTAAGGAAGGGGCCATTACCTTGCAGCCTTTCTCCCAAGTTGCCCATGCTGCTGCAGCTGCTCTTTCCTACGAGCAGCCCTGCGCGCACTGGGCCCAGGCTCCTCAGGGGCCTCTTCATCACTGCTGCCAGCCTCCACAATCTCCGAAGGCAGCACTCTACTCCCTGATGGTCCTGGCCCCATCCCTGCATCACACGCAGGCCCCTCATCTGAGTCCTCGCTCTCCGAGACCTCAGCCGTCCATGCCTGCTGCCAGTGAACCACAATACCAAGTGGTCTCAATGGCCCTCAGAGAGCGCTAAGGACCAGGCGACTGCAAGGAATATATAAATCCTTCCATTCCTCCCCCAACCCTTCAGTAAGAACTGAAGAAGCTTCTTAGATGAGTAGTGAAATGTCTTCAGGAAATAAAGTCCAGTTTGCCTTTTGAAAAAAGCACTTTTATGTGACAATTCTGTAACTATCATTTCAGTTGTTTGACGCAACGTTTTACTGTCTGCAGTGGAGCATGTTGGGGTGGGTGGGTGCATTCTGGTTTTGTGGGTCCCAAGCGCTGAAACCCCAACTCCCAACAGAGCATCTTTTGAGCTCCTCCTGTTTTGAACTTCTCAACTAGTCGTCGGCCATTGGATTTCCGCCGTTTCATTTGGGGAACATGAGACCAGAAACTTATTTATCATAAATTGTGATCCTGGCCCATTCCAGGTCTACTTTATGTGCCAAGTCTTTGGCCTCTGAAATCTTTCTGAGTGAATGAACACCCAGAGCTGGAGGCTAAAATTTAAAGTGCTCTATGCTTTCATTCCTCTAAAACAGGACAGCAAACAAAAAGCTATTTTGCAGCTTCTGAGTTGCTTTTTACTTTTGCAAATGATTGCAAAACTCCTTAAAAAGGAGGCAGCCATTTGCGGTGTGTGTGTGGGAGGGAGAGATTCTATATGGTCCTAAACACTTCATCTGGCTCATTTTGGTCCTACTGAGGGTTAAAAAAAAAACAACCTCTATGCTTAATTGTTGAGTTCCCCTCCCCCCTTCCCCATATCTAGCAGGAAGGAAATACAGCTGAATTCTTTTTTTTCTTCCTTTTGCATTTCAGCCACGAGAAAGATCAAGAAAGTGAAGATGGAGTTGAGCTACGAGAAGGTAAGGAAAATTTCTGGGCTGGTCCAGAAATCCTCAAAAACATGTTGCATGGATGGCATTTCTGCAGCCAGGGGTATAAAAATGGGAGCATATATATTTAATATTACATGTCTTGACAGCAGCAAGAATTGTATATGCATAACACTGGAAAAATGAGGAACCCTCCCATAGAAGAAGATGTAATTTTTAAAAAAACTAGATTGTGCAGAAATGGATAGGTTGACGTTTAAGATAAAAGATAAAGAAGATACAGAATGTTTTCAAACATGGGACTTATTTTATCAATGGTGGGACAACAGAAGAAATTAGAAATTGGAAAACTACTATTATGTATGTCTTATGTTGAATATATTATTATATTATACATGATTATGTAAGCAAATAGTCCCAGACAATACACTGTTCATAAAGCACTTATGTATGTTAAAGAAAAATATATTAATAAACTGTTTTAAAGAAAGGGAGCAAAGTTGTCTCACCTCCTTTCTGGATCTAGTCTGCAGATGATTTTGCAGCCAACATCTAGCCAACATGCATAGGTTTTTGGCTGGCCTGTCACATGCAGGATACAATAGCAACAGCACTTAGACTTATATACCACTTTATAGTGCTTTACAGCCAGCCCTCTCTAAGCAGTTTAAGAGTCAGCATCTTGTCCCCAACAATCTGGGTCCTCGTTTTACCCATCTCGGAAGGATGGAAGGAAGGCTGAGTCAACCTTGAGCCTGATGGGATTTGAACTGCCAAATTGCAGGCAGCTGGTAGTCAGCAGAAGTGGCCTGCAGTACTGCACTCTAACCACTGTACCACCAAGGATGCAACATTCTCTGTTGAATGCTAATTGGAGAGAGAGGAGAACTATCCAAGAAAGAGTATCCCTTGTCTCAAAGAAATCCAGAGTCCTGCAGATGTAACCAGACGACAGCTCCTATCAGCCCCAACCGGTGTGGCCAGTGGGAGTTGTAGCCCACCAGCCTTTGCACAGCTCCGGAGTCGGTTCCCTGTTAGGCGTACAAGTTGTGTTGACTGCTCTCCCATGGCAACCAACACAACTTGTGCTAGGTGTTGTGGCCCACCAGCAACCAGTGGAGCTGGCGACAGACTCAGACAGTGAGGAGGTTGGGGAGGAACATGGGCCAGTCCTGGAGTCTGGGGAAGGCTCTGCATTGGAGGCAGAGATGGGGCCAGGGCCTTCTGACAGTTATCAACTACCTTTGGAATTGGAGATCGGTGAGGCAGAAGAACAGCTGGAGCCTGTTCCCAGTACGCATGCACAGAGCTGCCAGGAGAAGGGAACAGTTAAGGAAAAAGGGTTGACTCTGGATTAAAGGCACAGGTGGATGGCGAATGGCCCTTCCCATAGGGAATAAAAAGGAGCGAAAGGGGAGTGGGGTTTGCAGGAGACAATTCATTTAATGATTGTGAAGATTTGTTTAATCTTGAGTTTGTGACTCCCAGAGACTCTTTTCCAAGTATATCCTTGTACAGCTTTGCGCTTGGAAGCTATCGGCCTGGCAACTCTTCCAAGCCTGATAAGGTCTGTGGTTGCAATTCACCCTTGAAAGACTGTTTGCTGGGACTTTGCTGAATGTGAATGATAGGAATTCATATTAGCCAAATAAAAAGGAGTTTTGTTGGGACAAGGAGTCTGTTTCGTGGTGTTGTGAAGCCTAAGTCAGAACACTAGGAATTCTCTTTCTGTTTCCCCGGGTCTCACAACCACACTACTAAGATCAGTTTGAAAAGTAGCTATGCAGTCCATGTTTGCACAGTGTTTTGTCACACGCTCAGCTCTCTGGAGTTCCAAAGTCAGCAACGACAAGTTAATCCTTGACTTAAGACCACGATTGAATCATACATTTATGTTGCTAAGCGAGACGGTTAAGTGAAATTTTGCTCTGTTTTATGACCTCCCTTGCTGCAGTGGTTAAGTGAATCACTGCGGTGCTTTAGTTAGTAACCCCGTTGTTAAGTGAATCTGCCTTTCCCATTGACTTCACTTGCAAGAAGGTTTGCAAAAGGTGACTATGGGAGCCCCAGCGTCATAAATATGAGTTGCCAAGTGTCTGAATTTTGATCACGTGACCATGGGGACCTTGAGAAGGCTGTAAACGTAAAAAATGGTCCTAAGTCACTTTTTTTTCAGTGTGTGGTTGTAACTTCAAACATCCACTAAATGAATGATTATAAATCAAGGACTACTTGTACACCTTCTTCTGTTTTCAAATGCCCCATTGGCTGTCCCAGCTATACATCCTCGACAGAAGAGAACAAAGTACATTAAATAGCAATCCGGATCAGTCTAGTGTAAATTTTGAGGATATTCAATCTTGCTACGGCTGATACCCCCCCCCCAATTTCCCTGAAAATATGACCTACCCTGAAAGTAAGTCCTAGCTTGGTTTTTACACGTGCGTCCAATATAAGCCCTATCTCCAAAATAAGCCCTAATTAAGATCCTGTCCACCCCAGAGTGGACGGGTAAAAATTAAGCTAGGGTGGGAATGGGAGGGGGTGGAGCTGCCCTACTAATTACCTTTGGACAGTGGTATCCAGGCCTCGCACACCCCGACACCTGCCTCGCCGACCCATTTCTTCTGCAGCCGGCAGAGCCGGCAAGGCTTTCCTGAAGGATTGATCCAGAGCTCTGTTATCAGCTGCAGAGGCCTTCAGAAAAGCCTTGCCAGCCGCAGAAGAAGAAATTCCCGAAGGCCGCTGACAGCAAAAAGGAGGCCTGGGGGCAACGCACACAAGTGAGGTTAGTGGATGATATCCCCCCAAATTAAGACCTGGTGCTTTTTTTGGTAGCCAAAAAAATATAAGACAGGGTCTTATTTTCAGCGAACCACAGTATTTTCAACAGGCTGATAGAGTTCCACTCTCAAGAACAGCTTCCGCTACCCCCAATCACTCTTCTGCAAGTCCCTGACACAAATCTACACCTTTCAAATCTGGTTCCCTGTCTAATCAGGTCTCTAGAATTCACTAAATAGTGTTAAGCTTTTTGGGCTGTTGATCATAAAACCGTCAATTGAAATCTCTTTCCTTTCTCCGTCAGGGGACGGCACAAACGCAGATGAACAGACAGCAGTGGCCATTGCCAGCGTCCAGCAAGCAGCCTTTGCAGACCATAATATCCAGTATCAGTTTCGAACAGAGAACAATGGAGGACAGGTAATGTCCATATTGGGAAGGTTGGATTTTGAACTTTGGATGGAGGTCCACCAATTAAAGACTGGCCTCTCTTGCAATTACAGCGGAGGAATTCAATTTTTTTTACTACCGATTCTGTGGGCGTGGCTTGGTGGGCATGACAGGGGAAGGATACTGCAAAATCCCATTCCCTCCCCACCCCACTAACCTGCTTTCCAGCTCCGTTCTCCTGTGCAGGGCAACCAGAGAAGACCCAGCCAATCAGCTGGGACTCAGGAGGCGGAGAATAGATGGGGCGGGGCCAGTCAGAGGTGATATTTGCTGGTTCTTCAATCTACTCAAAATTTCTGCTGCTGGTTCTGCAGAACCTGTCAGAACCTGCTGAATACCATCTCTGAAGATGATGGAATATAGCAGGCAAACGCCTAAATTAGGGGAAATCCACTGCCATTTCTGATTCATTTCATTGCACTCCAAAAAAATAAATAAAAAAGAAATGTTTTTTGTTGCGGAAATCATGTCATAGCGGGGTTTGATTGTTTTGAGTACTTCAAGGGGGCTGAACATCACCTCGTTTCTCCCCATCCTTAATAAATCCCACTTCAGCCAGAAGAATGATATGGCTGTGCTGTTTCTCCCCAGGTGACATACAGAGTAGTTCAGGTGACGGACAGTCAGCTGGATGGACAAACGGATGCAACGGGGGCCGTTAGCGTGGTCTCGACCGCAGCTTTCACCAGTGGCCAGCAAGCTGTTGCTCAGGTGAGAAATGGTTTTGGCTAACCCCAGTATTAATATTATTTGTTATGATTGGTCGCACAATCAACCAGATGTTTAGACTGGAGTTGCTGTTTTTATCCACCTCCTTTCAAGAGATGTCCAAGAGGTAGACATAGAAATGAACATATGGGCAGACCACAAACCCCATAAAAATTACATGGAAGGAACAAAAGAAGAAACCGAGATAGACAGTGAATCAAACTATTTTAAAAGACAAATGATGGAAAAAGAAATGGAAATTTTTCTTTAAGGAAAATAGAAAAGAAGAAACATCACTGCAAAATGTCTGGCAAAAGCACACATTCGAGGGTTAGTGATCACATATATAGCAAGGAAAAGTAAGAAAATTAAACAGCAGCAAAAAAAGAGCTTAAAAAGTCGGAGGTAGAATTGCAGAATGAAAAAAAAAAGATTAAAGAGAAAATTGATCTAATAAAACATAAACTGAATCTCATCGTGCAAGATGAAATGGCACAAACATTTAAAATGGCGAAACAAAACTTTTTTGAACACGCAAATAAGCCAGGTAGATGGTTAACGTACAAGTTGAAAAAAAGAGAAAGAGAAGAAAACGATATACCAACTGATAGACAAGAATCACCAGAATGAAGATAAAAAGAACATAATCCAGGGATTTTTTTTTTAGGAAATTTTACAGTCAAGAAAAAACAGATGTTTGTTTGATGCGTCAGAGGATGGAAGCTCTTCTGAACAAAGCTGCCTTTTGCAAGTGACCAATAGTGATTTTTTTTTTCCAATGCCATTGGTATTCAAATGATGTTCTGGGTGTTTTGGTATTACACACTCAAGGCCCCTATCGCTTTTGGTACTCTTTGCATTCTTTTGCCAGAGTTGTTCTACTTCTATTTGCAGGCCTTTGCATTTTGTGATATTTTTTTCCCTCCAGTTCTTTCTCTTCTGATCGAGTAATTAACTGGGGTATTGAGGTGGCAGGTGCTGAATTCTGTTGAATTCTAAAGTCCCAGAGCGCTTTGCTTTCTTTGTTTTCAATGGCTTTTGTCTGTTATGTGGTTCCAGCGGTTCCCCTTTGCGGGCAGATGATAGGCGTGCACATTGCTTGGCAATATTTTTCAGAAGTGGTTTGCCGTTGCCTGCTTCCTCCGGTCTAGAGAAGGTGACTGGCACAAAATCAGCCACACGGCTTTGTGCCTAAGATGGGCCTAGACTACCAACCTGCCTTCAGTCGAGGACTTGTATACTGAATGAGTCCAAAAGAGGGCTGTGACAATATTTACAGACCCCCTCACATCCTGGACATAAACTGTTTCAACTCCTACCCTCAAAACAACACTATAGAGCACTGCATACCAGAACAACTACTAGACACAAGGACAGTTTTTCCCCAAACGCCATCACTTTGCTAAACAAATAATTCCCTCAACACTGTCCAACTATTGACAAAGTCTGCACTGCTATTACTATTAATCTTCTCATCACTCCTTATCACCCATCCCTTCCCACTTGTGACTGCTGTAAGTTTGTGGCTTGTATCCTTACGATTTATATTGACTGTTTCCTAGTATGATTTGATTGCTTATTGTACCCTGTGACTATTATTAAGTGTTGTACCTGATGATTCTTGACTCTTGACTCTTTTCTTTTATGAACATTGAGAGCATTTTCACCAAGACAAATTCCTTGTGTGTCCAAACATACTTGGCCAATAAAGAATTCTATTTAATTCTATTCTAGAACTCACCGTCTCCCATTTTCTAGCCTGGTACCTTAATCACCGCCACCAAACTGACTCTCTTTAATCTGTTACCCATTCTTAAACACAAGAGGGCAGTGCATTCCTTCAGTTAATCAGATCTTCACTCCTCATATTCCTCTGTTTCTGTAAATCCATTCCTGGACCATGCATTGATTTCGTAGTCTCCACGAAGTCTTGGTTTAATTGAGTTCGCCTAAGTTTAGCCCAGTTTCTGAGTTTCTGTTTAGCCCAGCTGTCGGCCTGCCCGCCCCTCGCATCACCCGTAGCCAGTTACGAATAAAAGCCAGGGTTTTATTTTCCAGGCCAGTCTTCCAGTGCAGTAGCAGATTCAAGTCTTCCCTTGCTCTTTAACCATGATTTATCTTGCTTTGGGTGGTTTGCTGTCACAGACCCACACATGCGTCTCCTTCTGTTTCCAGGCTGTGATTCAGAACCCTTTCAGCAACGGTGGAAGTCCAGCCACAGATGCCGTCAGTGGTGAAGCCCGTTTTGCATACTTCCCTGCTTCCACGGTGGGCGATGCCACAGCAGTTTCCGTACAGACAACTGATCAGTCGCTGACACAAGCTGGAGGTAGGATATCAGGGACCTCGGAAAGCTGTTTGAGGTGGCCCTGATGGCATCCACATCTCTTAAACTACCATCCCTACCACGCCCAATCATTGACCCATGAAGTCCAGACTAGCCCAGACTGGTTCAATGCTTCTAGCTAGGTGTCCCTAGTTATATTGTACAAAAGGTAAAGGTTCCCCTCGCACATACATGCTAGTCATTTCTGGCTCTACAGGGTGTTATTCATCTCCATTACAAAGCTGAAGTGCCAGCACTGTCCGAAGATGTCTCCATGGCCACATGGCCAGCGTGACTAAATGCCAAAGGCGCACGGAAGGCTGATTACCTTCCCACCAAAGTGGCCCCTATTTTTCTACTTGCATTTTTTACGTGCTTTCGAACTGCTAGGTTGGTAGAAGCTGGGACAAGTAAAAGGAGCTTACTCCGTTAATGCAGCATTAGGGATTCGAACTGCTGACCTTTCCGATTGACAAGGTCAGCGTCTTGGCCACTGAGCCACAGCGTCCCCTTGTATTGTACGTAAAAACATTGTAGGTAAAAAGAGTCAAAACTGTGTTGATCGCAGGACAGATCACAGTGCCACAGGTTAGAACTCCGATGAACAAAACAGTTGCTCTGTTTCCTAGTGGACAATCCCTTAAATGTGAGCCAGCCCTGTGCTGCAGCTGCCAAAAAAGCCAACACAGTCCTAGGCTGCATAAACAGAGGGATAGAATCAAGATCACGTGAAGAGTTAATACCATTTTATAATGTCCTGGTAAGGCCACACTTGGAATATGGCATTCAGTTTTGGTCACCACGATGTAAAAAAGATGTTGAGACTCTAGAAAGAGTGCAGAGAAGAGCAACAAAGAAGATTAGGGGACTAGAGGCTCAAATGTATGAAGAACGGTTGCAGGAACTGGCCACGTCTAGTTTAATGAAAAGGATTAGGGGAGACATGATAGCAGTCTTCCAATATCTCAGGGGCTGTCCCAAAGAAGAGGGAGTCAAGCTATTCTCCAAAGCACCTGAGAGAAAGACAAGAAGCCATAGGTGGAAACTAATCAAGGAGAAAAGCAACTTAGAACTAAGGAGAAATTTCCTGACAGTTAGAACAATTAATCAGTGGAACAACTTCTCTCCAACAGTTGTAAATGCTCCATCACTGGAAGTTTTTAAAAAGAGATCGGACAGCCATTTGTCTGAAGTGGTGTAGGTTTATCTTTGGTTATTCAGGTTTTCTCCCGCGTAAGATTGACAGTATCTAGGCAACGTTTCAATGAAGTCTCATTCATCATCTTCAGGCTTGTGTCTTCGGCTCTGTGCTTCTCAGAGTGAACTCTCAGAGTGAACTCTCAGAGTGAATTCTCAGAGTGAACTCTGAGAAGCACAGAGCCGAAGACACAAGCCTGAAGATGATGAATGAGACTTCATCGAAACGTTGCCTAGATACTGTCAATCTTACGCGGGAGAAAACCTGAATAACCAAAGATCCACATACAAATACCCGCGAGAACCTCAGAAAACAAAGCTGATATATAAATCTCTCTCTCTCTCTCTCTCTCTCTCTCTCAAAATAGCCTGTGGAAATCTATGTGTTTACTATTGCCACTCACAGGGTAGAAGCCTATCCATTCCTTGAAACTGTTTTTAATTTTTAATTTGGGGAGGGGAGGGGGCAGAATAAAAGAAATAAAGGGACAGCCCAGTGAGGACCGTCCATTCTCAACAGCCAAACCTCGGATTTATTGTTGAGAAGGAGGAAAATTGGGAATGGAGGGCGGGAGCAGGTGGACAAAAAGCAACAGCTAAGTCTTTTCGTGCAAGCATTTGGCACTGGAAATATTTTTTTGTCCTTTCCCACCCCCTTTTTTGTTTCAGTGTTTAGTCATTTATTTGGTGGTGTTAATACCTTCTCCACGTTGCTCCTTCAGGTCAGTTCTACGTGATGATGACCCCCCAAGACGTCTTGCAGACCGGAACACAACGTACCATAGCTCCTCGCACACACCCCTATTCCCCGTACGTAATCAGGGTCTTCAGTCAGGGAAATTCTAGATATTCCACAGTGTGGTTGTGGGGAGGAAGGGAGGGAGGCGAGCCGGAAGAGGGCAGAACAGGTGGGGCCACAAGCAGGCAATTCTGGAGTCGGGGAGGAGAGAAAACAGGCGAGTTGATATGCCAGGATATAAAGGAATGTAGCTAAGGAAGGATAGATCAGACCAATGTGGAGGGACAGTGTGTGGTGGAATCTCCAGTGAGGCTGGAAGGAGGTATAAAGAAAGGATCAAGATTAGAGTCTTCGCGCTGCAGAAAGTAGCAACAGGCCAGATCTCCTCAGAGATTCATTTTCCAAAACCGTTGAGCATTGCGACCTTATGGAGAAAGGGTCCACTCTAATTGTTGTGTTTCTGATGGGTTTTAGAAAAACAAACACGCAATCAGCACTGGATTGATGTTCCTTTTCCTTCCAACTCAGAAAGTCCACGAGGGCGTTAGCTTTCCCCGATTTCTCAATTCTTAGGCATGCCTGCCTGTGTTGAAGGAGTGGGCTGACTTTTGGTATCTTTAACTGCATCTTTTAAAATAATAGAAAAGGTTCTGAGATGGGAACGGGGTTTCTGAAAGCTGCTGCGCTTCTGATTTATTCCAATCCTTCCCTTCAAATCCTAGGAAAATGGACGGGACGCGGACACCCCGAGATGAGAGGCGAAGAGCTCAGCACAATGAAGGTAGGCAGAACAGCCAAGCTGGCTCAGTTCTTGTTAAGGTCTTGGGATTTAAGAGCCGACCAGCAGTGAAGCTGATGCAATATAGGATGATGCAATAAGAATCAATCAGCATAGCATGGGTACTTCCCTTTAAGACTGGGGGATGGGTTCTATCCCTTTAAGAGGTGCTTATCTAAAGGCAGCCATTAGAGGGTGTGTCCTCTCTCCTGTCTGGTATTCATTGCTGAGTTCTCTATATAGAGTTAAGAAGAAGAAAGATTGCTTGTAAGGTATTTTGCCTATCAAGTATATGTCTGTATACAATTATTGTATATAAATCACTGTTGATTGTCTAAGTCTACTGTGTTTTGCTCCTGGGTTGTCTCATAATAGTAGTCACACTGCAAACGCTCTAACAGTTCTCTCCAATCTCCAAATTTGTGCCCTAATCAGATGAGGAAGGACTGCATTGCTTTGAAACATGATTGAGAAAGGCCAATTTCTTTCCCTTTTTTCCAAATCTTGGAAAGCACCATGATGGTGCAGAATGCAGTACTACAGGCTAACCAGTGATGGGCTGCAACTGGTTTAAACGCCGGTTCGCCTAATGCATGGTTTGCTCGCGTGCACAGTGTTCAGAAACTGCCCATTTTAAGCTTAAAAACTTACTTTTATGTCAGCGCAGGTGAGTAAAACAGCTGAGGCACAGGAATCTGCTCAGCCCCGCAAATCAGCTGAGCTAATAAAACAAGGAAATATAGGACAGGAAAGGAGAGGGGCGAGTGGGTGGGGCCAACTGCTCACCAGAACTACCAGTTCACTAGAACCGGTCTGAACTGGTATCAGCCCACTGAGGATAACTGCCCACTGCCAGGAGTTCAATCCTGTCTGGCTCAAGGTTGACTTAGCCTTCCATCCTTCCAGGGTTGGTAAAATGAGGACTCAGATTCTGGGAGCAACAGATTAGACCAAAACTTCAATTTCTGATCTGTAGGACTGTGTAATAGCTCTGTGTGAGTGTCTCTGTTTCTCTTCCTCCAAAGTCAATCACTCCATCCCTCCACATGTTATTGTGAGGTTGCCATGTTTGATCAGTGACTTACTTTTGTTCTCTCTCTCTCTCTCTCTCTCTTTCCCCTTCTCCCTCCCTCCCTCTCTCTAAGTTGAACGGAGGAGGCGGGACAAGATCAACAATTGGATCGTACAACTGTCAAAAATCATTCCAGACTGCAATACAGACAACACCAAGACAGGGGCGGTGAGAGTGATTTCTTGATTGCCGGGGTGGTGCTGGTGGTGGTAGCACAGAAGGAACAATGTTTAGCTTTGGGGAGGAGATGTTAAGCTTCTCTCATGAGATGTCCCAGGTCGCCCTTCCATGGTTCCAGCAAGGTTGGAGACTTTTCCTGATTATTGTTTCTCCCAGATGAATTTTCCCTGTTGGTCATCTTGTTTGAAATTGTTCTGGATAATTACAGCCTCGTTGGCCTGCCTATAGATGCATAATTGTGGAGTAATTGGAGCCACAAGTATTGTTCAGTCAGATTATACCTTGTGAAAACATCCTTCCCTGCTAGAGTATTGAGTTATAGGGCGATTGCTCGCCTTCATCTATTACCTTTGCTATACCTGTGGATTGGACTTCTTGCTGAAGTTGATGAGAAGTTACAGTCAAATCCTCTGGGGATGATAATTAGGAAGAAAATTAGAAATCCCTTTTTCCCACTGTAGTTTTGATCAAAAGAACTATACTAAATAATTCTGATCCTGAATTGCAAACTATTGACGTCTTTGAGTATAGCACAGGCTGCAGAAATTCTGGCGTGAAGCCCTAATACCATGTTTCCCCCCAAAATAAGACCCTGTCATTTTTTTTTGGCCACCAAAAAAAAGCACCAGGTCTTGTTTTGGGGGGATGTCATCCACTGACTAACCTTACGTGTGTCACCCCCAGCCTTCTTTTTGCTGTCAGAGGCCTTCAGGAACTTCTTCAGCAGCCAGCAAGGCCGGAAAGTCTTTCCTAAAGGCCTCTGCAGCCAATAACAGAGTTCTGGATCGATCTGGAGCTTTGTTATCGGCTACAGAGGCCCTCAGGAAAGCCTTGCCGGCTGCAGAAAAAATGGGCCGGCAAGGCAGGTGTCGGGGTGTGTGAGGCCTGGCTGCAACTGTCTGAAGGTAAGTAGTAGGGCAACTCCACCCCCATCCCCACCCTAGTTTAATTTTTACCCGTGCACCCTGGAGTTTGTGGGATCTTAAATTAGGGCTTATTTGGGGGGATAGGGCTTATATATTGGGCACATGTGTAAAAATCAAGCTAGGACTTAAATCACATGTGTGATTTAAGCTTAGGGTACGTAACATTTTCGGGGAAACACGGTATGTACCACTAACAGTTAAATGACACAAACCCAAATCCTTAATCTCTACCCACACTGACACCAAATAGCGCTGGTTTGATTGGAGCAATGATTCCTTGAAGAGTTCCATAGATTGGCAGACCTTTCTTCCTTATGATTTCTCCTTAGCTGAGGAGAATCCCACAAGAAACCTCTTTTTCCACTTGAGAAATCCTGGAGCTGTGGCCTTTAGTTGGCCAGTTTGGCCTAAACTCAAGAAGTTAAGCCGTTTTGACTTCATTAGTACTCAAATGGGGAGCTACCAGGTAAATAGTCCTAAAGCTCTAGGAAGTCAGGGCGTGGTGGAAACAACTTCAACCATCTTGGGGGAAAGTGTAATTAATGAACAATGTCTTTGTTGTTTTCAAGAAAGACACAAAGACGTCATGGAGAGGTTGACTCAAAACAAATAGAAAACAGCACTTAACGCTTCCTTTTTGATTATAACAGCAAGTTCTATAAAGTGAGATGAATCAATATTTTAGCCGGCCACAAATAAATAAAGAGGTCCCATCCTAAAAACAGAACCAGCTAATCCTTGGAGGTTTGAACGTGAGTGTTCTGACTTAGGCTTCCCCAACAGCACGAAGCTGACTCTTGGTCCAGATAAACCTCTTTTATTTAGTTTACAGTCAATTCCTTTCCATAAAATTCCCAGCCAACAGTCTTTCAAGATATTCCACAATTACATACCTTTAATCAGGCTTGGAGAGTTGCCAGGCTGATATCTTCCAGGGGCCACACTGTAGCAGACAATAATTAGCAAGAATGCAGGAACAGATCTTCACCCAAATGAACTAACTGTCTCCTGCAAAACCTCACTCCTCTTTTCTTCCTTACGAGAGGGGCCATTCACCATCAAACTGTGGCTTTACTCCCAAGTCGACTTTGTTCCTTAGCTATTCCCTTCTTTTGGCAGCTCTGTGCATGCGCACACTGGGAACAGGTTCCAGCTGTTCTTCTGCCTCACTGATCTCCGACTCCGAAGGCAGCTGATAACTGTCGGATGGCCCTGGCCCCATCTCTGCCTCCGATGCAGAGCCCTCGTCAGAGCCTTCCCCAGACTCCAGGACTGGCCCATGTTCCTCCCCAACCTCCTCATTGTCCGAGTCTGCCACCAGCTCCGCTGGCTGCTAGCGGGCCACAACAGCGTGTAAAGGAGGAAGGACCTGATGGTCTTGAAGACCCTTCACACCATCCAAGGTGAGGCCGAGCAGGAAGCTCAGTGATGGAGCTGGTCTTTGTTCTTCTCTCTTTTTAGAGCAAAGGGGGCATCCTGTCCAAAGCCTGTGACTACATCCGGGAGCTACGCCAGACGAACCAGCGTATGCAGGAGACGTTCAAGGAAGCTGAGAGGCTTCAGATGGACAATGACCTGCTACGGCAACAGGTAGTTCAGCCCACCTTCTCCCTCTCTTGCTTTGGAACAGGGATTGTGGCCAGCAATAAAACCGATTACAGGTAGTCCTCGTACGACCACAACGGAGGCCAAAATTGCTGCGGTTAAGTGAAACATTGGTTAAGGGAGCTTTGCCTCATTTTGGACTTTTGTTTCCACCGTTGTTAAGTGAGTCGCCGCAGTGGATAAGTTAGTCACCCGGTTGTTAAGTGAATCTAGTTTCCTCTGGGACTTGGCTTGTCGGAAGGTCGCAGAAGAGGTTCACGTGACCCCTGGACACTGTAACCGTCATAAACACGAGCCAGTGGCCAAGTAACCATGGTGGCACAGTGGTTGGAATGTGGTACTGCAGGCTACTTCTGCTGCCTGCCAGCTGCCTGTAATTTAACAGTTGCAGGCAGGGTTGACTCAGCCTTCCATCCTTCCAAGATGGGTCAAATGAGGACCCAGATTGTTGGGGGCAATAGGCCGACTCTGTAAACGGCTTGGAGGGGGCTGTAAAGCACTGTGAAGAGGCATATATAGGTCTAAGTGCGATTGCTATTGCTATCTGAATTTTGATCACATGATTATGGGGATGCTCCAAAGATCATAACGGTGAAAAACGGTCATAGTCACTTTTTTCAGTGCCATTGTAACTTTAAA